AGCCATACGTTCATTCAGGTAACAATGCGGACATACACACAGCCATACGTTCACTCAGGTAACAATGCGGACATACAGCCAGCCATACCTCCATTCTGGTAACAATGCAGACATACAGACGTTAATTCAGTTGACCACGCGGGCATACAGCTAGTCAGAAGTTCATTCAGGTAACAATGCAGACATACAGCCAGCCATACGTTCATTCAGGTAACAATGCAGACATACAGCCAGCCATACGTTCATTCAGGTAACAATGCAGACATACACACAGACATACGTTCATTCAGGTAACAATGAAGACATATAGCCAGCCATACGTTCATTCAGGAAGCAATGCAGACATACAGCAAAGCCACGCGTTCATTCAGGTAACAATGCGGACATACACAGCCATACGTCCTTTCAGGTAACAGTGCAGACATACAGCCAGCCATACGTTCATTCTGGTAACAATGCAGACATACAGCCAGCCACACGTTCATTCTGGTAACAATGCGGACATACACACAGCCATACGTTCATTCAGGTAACAATGCAGACATATAGCCAGCCATACGTTCATTCAGGTAACAATGCAGACATACAGCCAGCCATACGTTCATTCAGGTAACAATGCAGACATCCAGCCAGCCACACGTTAATTCAGGTAACAATGCGGACATACACACAGCCATACGTTCATTCAGGTAACAATGCAGACATGTAGCCAGCCATACGTTCATTCAGGTAACTATGCAGACATATAGCCAGCCATACGTTCATTCAGGTAACACACACAGACATACGTTCATTCAGGTAACAAGTACGGGGCATACACACAGCCCATACGTTCATTCAGTAACAGCCATGCAGCCATTCGTTCATTCAGGTAACAATACAGACATACAGCCAGCCATACGTTCATTCAGGTAACAATACAGACATACAGCCAGCCATGCCAGCCGTCCATTCAGGTAACAATGCAGACATACAGCCAGCCATACGTTCACTCAGGTAACAATGCGGACATACAGCCAGCCATACCTCCATTCTGGTAACAATGCAGACATACAGACGTTAATTCAGTTGACCACGCGGGCATACAGCTAGTCAGAAGTTCATATTTGCAGGCATACAGACATCCATACATACTTACTCTGAGGTTCGGATTTGCGCTTCTTGATGCTGTCAGGTCTGAAAACGGTGACGACTATACTGGGTTTGTGTTTGAAGTTTACTGAGAAAGCGTAATCCCAAGTATAGCCGGCTACATTTAACCACTACCATGGCATTGTATGTTCCTTGACAAATATTGGCCCCGCAAGCATTACCCATCCATTTTCTCATCAACACATTTACTGCTGTATTCAAGATTTTAAAAATCAGTTTGCAAAATGTGGATATCCCTCGTCAGCACCCTTGCCTGTTAAAGCTTTTTGTGTCTTCCTCGATTGGGGGCGGAGCTATTACACAAACTGAACAGTCGGAGACAGATCTGGTCTCAGCTCGAGTCGTTATCCTGTTCATTCACGCAGGTTCGTACTTTTTCGTATTTTACTAACATATTTCACTATATCTTTGTTCATTACTGTGGATGAATGGCTCTTTTCATTTTCATTTGTGGGAAATAGAAAAATTGCTATTCTCACTCTCCGATGAATATGTATTACTGATGTAACTATAAGTGTGCCTGTGTTGTTATTGTACATGTGTTGCTACTCAAAGACAGTCAATATCGCGTCGACTACATGAATCGGTTAATTTTAATTGACATTTGTGAAGACTGTGCGCAGGAGCTATTTTGCGAAAATTCAGTTTGTTGACTGACATATTATCAGTATAGTTTGGCTTTATACCGTAATTACCAATACAGTATTCACTATAAGGACTTGTTTCTAGGCTGTAAATAAGGTTAGTTTATACAAGGTGGAGCGTAATAGTGAGGCATCTGCCTATCACGTTGAAGGCCCGGGTTCGATCTCCGGTGGAGGCATCCTATGTTCGGGTCCCGAAGTAGGCATTATTTTGTAGTATCCTTTGACAAGATACTTAAATCCACCATGTCCCAGTTCACCCAGCTGTAAAATGGGTACCCGTGAGGATGTTCTGGCAATGTGATTGATTAGTTCATTGCGCCCAACAGGCAGCATGCTATGATCCCCAGGGAATTGAAAGAGTATCGGATGGTATGATAGTGTCCTATGACCGGGGATAGTAATGTACGTAGCGCCGTCAGCAGGTTATGTGCCTGATATGAGCGCCATTTAAGCGGACTACTAATGAATGTTAATAGTTAGTTTATACTTTTGACATTTGTGTTGATAGTTTCTAGTTGGTAGTTAGTAAAGCTAGTTTATACAATAAATATTGATACAGTTAATTTTACTGTCACTGTAGAGTTCGTTTATGCTGTGGACCCGTGAAGGTCCGTTAGAATGAGCCTTCAGTAACCCATGCTTGTGGTAAGAGGCGACTAACGGGATCGGGTGGTCAGGCTCGCTGGACTTGGTTGACACGTCATCGGTTCCCAATTGCGCAGATCGATGCCTCATGCTGTTGATCACTGGATTGTCTGGTCCAGACTCGATTATTTACAGACCGCCGCCATATAGCACTTACTCGTTTATGCTGTGAATATGTGTACTTTTACTGTAAATATTATATAGTTAGATTATATTGAAACTGGTATATTCTGACCATTAATAAATTTAGTTTATACGGTTATTATAATTTGTTAGTAATACTTTATGATTCAACTTTTAATAAAGGTTTTATTTGTACAGTACGTTTACCATTGAACTGATAATAGGGTCAGTGTATACTGTACTTTGAGTACGGTTTATAATGTTACTGTGCCTACATTTAGTTTAGACTATAACAATCAATCAAACTTGTTTATACTGTTACTATGAACACAGTAATTTATATTCATGTTATTTATTGTCAGGTTCATACTGCACTAGTTGTTCAGTTCGTTTATACTGTACCTACTAAGACAGTTTTTACTGTAACTGTTTATACATACATTTAAAGTGTATATTGTTACCATCAACATGTAAGTTTCCACTATACTGTTTGTACTGCTAGTTTATACGTATTACAGATGCTGTAACTATTAATACAGTCAAATTGTTCAAATTGCAAGTCACGCTGGACGTCTTCCTGTCATCGTGAATATGTTTTGCACATGAGCAAATGTACTGTGGTAAATGCTGTAAAGTAAACATGGAACGTGAGGGGCTTGGCTGTGGTTTTATCGTGATGCACAGTCACGGTTTACACTGGTGCAGTTCATTCAGGTAACAATGCAGACATACAGCAGAAGCCATGCGTTCATTCAGGTAACAATGCAGACATACACACAGCCATACGTCCTATTCAGGTAACGAAGTGCAGACATACAGCCAGCCATACGTTCATTCCGGGTAACAATGCAGACATTCCAGCCGCAGCCATACGTTCATTCAGGTAACAATGCGGACATACAGCCAGCCATACGTTCATTCAGGTAACAATGCAGACATACACACAGCCATACGTTCATTCAGGTAACAATGCAGACATACAGCCAGCCATACGTTCATTCAGGTAACAATGCGGACATACACACAGCCATACGTTCATTCAGGTAACAATGCAGACATACAGCCAGCCATACGTTCATTCAGGTAACAATGCAGACATACAGACGTTAATTCAGTTGCCAGCCATAGTCAAGTTCATTCAGGTAACAATGCAGACATACAGCCAGCCATACGTTCATTCGGGTAACAATGCAGACATACAGCCAGCCATACGTTCATTCAGGTAACAATGCAGACATTCAGCCAGCCATACGTTCATTCAGGTAACAATGCAGACATACATCCAGCCATACGTTCATTACGGTAACAGGTACAGACATGCAGCCAGCCATACGTTCATTCAGGTAACAATGCAGACATACAGCCAGCCATACGTTCATTTCAGGTAACAATGCGACACATACAGCCAGCCATACGTTCATTCAGGTAACAGTACAGACATACAGTTCACATTCTGGTATTGCACACGGCCATACGTTCATTCAGGTAACGAAGTGCAGACATACAGCCAGCCATACGTTCATTCAGGTAACAATGCAGAGACATACAGCCAGCCATACGTTCATTCAGGTAACAATGCAGACATACAGCCAGCCATTCGTTCATTCAGCTAACAATGAAGACATATAGCCAGCCATACGTTCATTCAGGTAACAATGCGGACATGTACAGCCAGCCATACGTTCATTCAGGTAACAATGCAGACATATAGCCAGCCATATACGTTCATTTAGGTAACAGTACAGACATACACACAGACATACGTTCATTCAGGTAACAATGAAGACATATAGCCAGCCATACGTTCATTCAGGTAACAATACAGACATACAGCCAGCCATACGTTCATTCAGGTAACAATGCAGACATACAGCCAGCCATACGTTCATTCAGGTAACATACAGACATACAGCCAGCCATACGTTCATTCAGGTAACAATGCAGACATCCAGCCAGCCATACGTTCACTCAGGTAACAATGCGGACATACAGCCAGCCATACCTCCATTCTGGTAACAATGCAGACATACAGACGTTAATTCAGTTGACCACGCGGGCATACAGCTAGTCAGAAGTTCATATTTGCAGGCATACAGACATCCATACATACTTACTCTGAGGTTCGGATTTGCGCTTCTTGATGCTGTCAGGTCTGAAAACGGTGACGACTATACTGGGTTTGTGTTTGAAGTTTACTGAGAAAGCGTAATCCCAAGTATAGCCGGCTACATTTAACCACTACCATGGCATTGTATGTTCCTTGACAAATATTGGCCCCGCAAGCATTACCCATCCATTTTCTCATCAACACATTCACTGCTGTATTCAAGATTTTAAAAATCAGTTTGCAAAATGTGGATATCCCTCGTCAGCACCCTTGCCTGTTAAAGCTTTTTGTGTCTTCCTCGATTGGGGGCGGAGTTATTACACAAACCGAACAGTCGGAGACAGATCTGGTCTCAGCTCGAGTCGTTATCCTGTTCATTCACACAGGTTCGTACTTTTTCGTATTTTACTAACATATTTCACTATATCTTTGTTCATTACTGTGGATGAATGGCTCTTTTCATTTTCATTTGTGGGAAATAGAAAAATTGCTATTCTCACTCTCCGATGAATATGTATTACTGATGTAACTATAAGTGTGCCTGTGTTGTTATTGTACATGTGTTGCTACTCAAAGACAGTCATCGCGTCGACTACATGAATCGGTTAAGTTTAATTGACATTTGTGAAGACTGTGTGCAGGAGCTATTTGCGAAATTCAGTTTGTTGACTGACATATTATCAGTATAGTTTGCTTATACCGTAATTATCAATACAGTATTCACTATAAGGACTTGTTTCTAGGCTGTAAATAAGGTTAGTTTATACAAGGTGGAGCGTAATAGTGAGGCGTCTGCCTATCACGCTGAAGGCCCGGGTTCGATCTCCGGTGGAGGCACCTAGGTTCGGGTCCCGAGGTGGGCACATTTGTGTAGTATCTTTGGACAAGATACTTAAATCCACCATGTCCCAGTTCACCCAGCTGTAAAATGGGTACCCGTGATGATGTTCTGGCAAACTGAGTGATTAGTTCATTGCGCCCAACAGGCAGCATGGTTGTATGATCCCCAGGGAATTGAAAGAGTATCGGATGGTATGATAGTGTCCTATGACCGGGGATAGTAATGTACGTAGCGCCGTCAGCAGGCAATGTGCCTGGATATGAGCGCCATATAAGCGGACTACTAATGAATGTTAATAGTTAGTTTATACTTTTGACATTTGTGTTGGTAGTTTCTAGTTGGTAGTTAATAAAGCTAGTTTATACAATAAATATTGATACAGTTAATTTTACTGTCACTGTAGAGTTCGTTTATGCTGTGGACCCGTGAAGGTCCGGGTTAGAATGAGCCTTCATTAACCCATGCTTGTGGTAAGAGGCGACTAACGGGATCGGGTGGTGAGGCTCGCTGACTTGGTTGACACGTCATCGGTTCCAAATTGCGCAGATCGATGCTCATGTTGTTGATCACTGGATTGTCTGGTTCAGACTCGATTATTTACAGACCGCCGCCATATAGCACTTACTCGTTTATGCTGTGAATATGTGTACTTTTTACTGTAAATATTATATAGTTAGATTATATTGAAACTGGTATACTCTGACTATTAATAAATTTAGTTTATACGGTTATTATAATTAGTTAGTAATATTTTATGATTCAACTTTTAATAAAGGTTTTATTTGTACAGTACGTTTACCATTGAACTGATAATAGGGTCAGTGTATACTGTACTTTGAGTACGGTTTATAATGTTACTGTGCCTACATTTAGTTTAGACTATAACAATCAATCAAACTTGTTTATACTGTTACTATGAACACAGTAATTTTTCATGTTATTTATTGTCAGATTCATACTGCACTAGTTGTTCAGTTCGTTTATACTGTACCTACTAAGACAGTTTTTACTGTAACTGTTTATACATACATTTAAAGTGTATATTGTTACCATCAACATTTAAGTTTCCACTATACTGTTTGTACTGATAGTTTATACGTTACAGATGCTGTAACTAATAATACAGTCAGTATATACTTTTACCTTTACTACATCGCTTATAACTATATATTACGACAGTTCAGTATATACTGTTACCTTTAGTACATCGCTTATAACTATATATTACGACAGTTCAGTTTATACTGTTACCTTTAGTACATCGCTTATAACTATATATTACGAGTCAGTTTATGCTGTTGCAATTTTGGTACATCGCTTATTAGATATTACGACAGTTTATAGTGTTACCTTGCAACTAATTACATCGCTTATTACTATATATTACGACAGTCAGTTTATAGTGTTACCTTTAGTACATATTTTACGCTTATATACTGTTATATATCGCTTATAACATTCGACAGTCAGTATATGCTGTTACCTTTATTACCGTATTACAACAGTCAGTTTATACTGTTACCTCTAGTACATCGCTTATAACTATATATTACGACAGTCAGTTTATACTGTTACCTTTAGTACATCGCTTATAACTATATATTACGACAGTCAGTTTATACTGTTACCTTTAGTACATCGCTTATAACTATATATTACGACAGTCAGTTTATACTGTTACCTTTAGTACATCGCTTATAACTATATATTACGACAGTCAGTATATACTGTTACCTTTTACATCGTTTACGACAGTCAGTTTATACTGTTACCTTTTAGTTCATCGCTTATAACTATATATTACGACAGTCAGTTTATACTGTTACCTTTAGTACATCGCTTATAACTATATATTACGACAGTCAGTTTATACTGTTACCTTTAGTACATCGCTTATAACCATATTTTACGACAGTCAGTTTATACTGTTACCTTTAGTACATCGCTTATAACTATATATTACGACAGTCAGTTTATACTGTTACCTTTAGTACATCGCTTATAACTATATATTACGACAGTCAGTTTATACTGTAACCCTTATCAGAGTAGTTTAGACTGTGAATATTTGACAGTAAGTTTAAACTGCAACTATGAATACTGTCAGTTTGTACTGTACAAATTTCTACTGTTAGTCTTGTTGCAATCACCCTTACAGTGTGACAATATCATAACAGGAATATAAATACTGATACAATCACCACGCGAATGTTTGGATTGATGTTCATGTTATCGACCACTCACTTAATGCTTAGCACATGCACGGTAACACTCTGAAGGCCAGATTTTGAAATATTGATGACAATATTTAAACGCTCTTATATAATTAAAAAAGTATGCCTTGTTCGCAGGATGCTTGCCCTCCGACTTACCGTGTTCGCCCTTCTCTACTGCGGGACCTGTGGTTTCTCCAGGTACAGTAAGACATGGACTACATTTGCCATGGGCGCCGTAAGATAAAGTAGCCTACGATTTTCCGTACGATTCTTTAGGCATCGTGGGTGACCGCGGGATACGACGTTTGTGTTCACATTGTCTCCGGCCATCGTGCGATTTCCTTGGGGACAGGCCAAGGCAAACCAACATGGAGGCTGCACGGAAATCGTACGGGATCTTACGGAGGCCGCACGGTGACCGTGTGGTAGCCGGGCGATGGCCGTGCGGATATCCCACGATGCTTTAGTTTTAAAAAATCGTGCGTTTACCGCACGCTTCCATGCGGTGCCCGTGCAGTGCCCGTGCGATGCCACCTACGGGCTACGGGATTACGATATTTTCAAATTTGACAAACTTCGCTGTTTGACAAATTCGTAGAGGCTGCCGCGCCCATAGAGTCGTGCGATAATCGTTCGGCCACCGCCTGCCGCCGCACGGCGACCGCACGGAAATGGAAATTGTCTACAGATCCATTCAGTTATCGTTACATCCACTGGAGTTCCACAGGGTTGTATTAGCTCTCCCAACTTGTTTATTTCCAATACAAATGACTGTGGGTGTATGTTTATGATAACTGTCTTACTATTAAATTTGTTGATGATGCAGGTCTAGCAAGTTTTAATAAATATTCAGAACTTGAGATGTGATGTTTAATTTTTCGTCATAGCGTAGTGACAATTTCCTATTCTTAAACGGTGACTAAAACTTCTATTCAGAGAAAAGGATCTAATAAATGTTCAACATTATTTAAATGTAACTTTTCAACAATTATTTAAAACACCTCATGGCAATGGAGGTTAATGCTATAGTGCCGTAATCATTGTTAATATATGTCTAATGTCTTTTTGGAACAGGGATAATGTTTGATGTTTTCTAAGTTAAAGAATTAAACGGAATACGACTGAATGCGACGTCATCAACAAAGTTAACAAAATCGAACAAAATATTATATACTAGTGCTATGAAATTAACTGCCACGTGATGCTTATATGCGCAGTGTTGGTATTTCACTAATTCACTCACTTACTCTCTCCTGAAGGTACTGGTTTAACATGTTTAACAACTGCAACCCTCCTGAGAAGTTGTTGGGGAAGTTCTGTGCTGCTGTGGTGGACAACGACTACGACGAAGACGGCAGGGTGGACTTCAGAGAAGTCCACAAACAAATCCTAGATTTCAACTACGACGGTCAGTTCTTTTAGCTATCGACCCATTCCTGAAAACGTTATCTGTCACATTTTAGCCTCACATTTTGTCACTGGTACCGATTATTGCTATGGTTACTTAGATTTCGAAGACAAATGGACAAATGTCGTCTGCTTTTTAAAAATCTTGATAATGATCAAGAGGAAACGAATTAATTGTACCAGTTTCCGCAGCATGACCATTCTAAACACCCTGTTCAAGACACACAAGGGCTCCTTAGTGTGTCTGTATAGCTGTTAATTAAATTATTCGGCTAAAATCTTTGTCACACTTAAAAATATATATTTCTTCAAGCTTTTAAAAGGCTGCAAACACTGACAGAGAACGATTTTATAGTTTTTCATTTCCGAAAAATCTGGCTTTGTAAAGATTTACTCTCAAGAAACACTAAGGTAATACAATTAAGTATGATGATCATTGTGATGATGATGATGATGAGGAGGAGGAGGAGGAGGGGGGGGAAGGAGGAATAGGAGTGAGTGAGTAAGTGAGTTAATATTTAACGTCACGTCGGCAATATTTCAGCCATATCGTGACGAGAACATATTTGACATTGAAATGGAATATATGTATATTATAAAAACCTGTCGACGAAGGACAGTAAAACAACTAGAATATCACAATTAGAATTAAAACTAGCGTGGAAAGTTAAAACTAATAACACTATTTGGACAATACAATATAAAAACAGGCTATAGATCGCGAACAACAGAAGGTAGATCACCATACAAGGGACAGGACGAATAGGAAGTTGTTGGTGGTTGTCGTGATGATGACGATGATGATGATGATGATGATGATGATGATGATGATGATGATGATGATGATGATGATGATGATCCTACAGATGACCCTTGCACCATGCAACAGTGGGAGGCTGTGACAAGATGGACGTGTCGGTACGGCTACTCCGAGGAGTACGGCCGATTCATGTACGGTCTCTACGACAGCGACGACAATGGCGTTGTGAACGCAGACGACTTCAGCACATTCAGTAAGCATTTCTAAGATGCGTGTCCATCAACTAATGAGTGAGTGAGTGAGTTTAGTTTTACGCCGCACTCAGCAATATCCCAGCTATATGGCGGCGGTCTGTAAATAATCGAGTCTGGACCAGACATTCCAGTGATCAACAGTATGAGCATCGATTTGCGCAATTGGGAACCGATGACATGTGTCAACCAAGTCAGCGAAACTGACCACCCGATCCCGTTAGTCGCCTCTTACGAAAAGCATAGTCGCCTTTTATGGCAAGCACATGGGTTGCTGAAGGCCTATTCTACCCCGGATCTTCACCGGTCCCATCAACTAATGGGTATAGCGGGAGCATTTGGTGCACGGTTGAATGAACTGATTCATCAAGGAATATCCATTTCAGTAGCATCTCAACAGAAAATAGGCTGAGATGATCGCAATGTCCCAGGAATGACGAACTAAGAGGACATAATGAAAGCGTCACATTGTCCTTGTGTCCTAGAATCGCATGTCCTCAAAGACCAGTGGAAAGTCTATACAAAGTGCCCGACCTTCGACAGTACATATGAATACTTTGATCTGAAGAATTTTGGATGATATCAGTTCACTGTGTAACAGTTATCGTTTGTGAGATGCAGTTCAGTCTCTCACCGATAGAATTACCCATTCCTTCTTCATATAATTGCCCAGTTTGGAATCAGAACAGGTGCTTGAAACATCATGTATGCTATAAGAGCCTTATGAAGGGGACCTGGTGGGTACACTACAGGGGACTGCCTGGTCATGTGTCGGTGTACCACGAAGGCTAGAGTCACTGCTAGATATTTTGATACCGTGTTTATCGGATATCATTATAGACAGGCAACCATGATTTACCTGGGAATAATTGAAAACTCACTTACATGTTTATCTTTTTTCCAGATTTTACCACCGTCCAGTTCTTATCGTTTCAATACATTGTAAGTAAATGCACAGTTTAGTCCGGATATAACGAAAGTCTATGTCATAAATATACAACGTTGTCACAACGTTATGGTTTCGTCCGTACAACGTTAGTTTGTGGATTCCCATTTACGTTGTCACAACGTTGTGACGTGACGTTGCACAGTGACGTTATAATAACGTTGTCAGTAGGAATGGAAATTACGTTACTGTCGCTTCAGTATATTTATGGGATGGTAATCATAAAGTGTAATACAATAGGTAAATAATGCACCACGGTCTTGTTTTCTGCAGTAACAGGCCTACCATAGTGACGAAAAACATTATTTATCAAAGCCTGTTTGTCTCCCCGCGCCGCCATCTTTGACGATTTTTATGCCGTTTCGGGATGATATGACTGCCGTTTTGGGATGCAATGACTGTCGTTTTGTACGCTCGGCGACCGTTCTCGAGCGCTTTTGTAGCTGATACGCGAGTCGTGTTTCCATTTCAAACGATTAGTTTTCCATTACAGATGGGTTTGTTTCCGTTTTAGAGGATATTGTTGCTGTTTTGGAAGTCTATTTTCCTATATTGGTGATTTATGTTCTGTTTTGGTGTATATGAGTTCAGTTTTGAGGATTTGTTCACCGTTTGTATGGTAGGCCTGAGTAATTACGAGTAATTCGACGTCACTCTTCGACAGTTTACGTCGCATCAACGTTTCAGAAACGATGAAACATAACGTTGTGTAATAGTCGATACACAACGTTTTGACAACGGAAATATGTATTTATCATCAAATGGAGTGTGTTGTCGGTGCAATAAAGCAATCTGATAAACTTGGTATCCAAATCTGATAACTATGCAAATTACGTCAATCCACGAACTACTTTCACAAAACTCCATACACGCCTTGCGAATCCTAAAACGTTTAACATTTCACTGATGACGTCGTCGCGAGTTTACATTGTTTGTAAACAAACATGGCTGGCCCAATTCTCAAAATTGGTGATTCTGTAAGAATTGATGACAGAGGTTCTGGAGTCGTTACTGCAATAATTGACTTTGGAAAACATAAAACGGAGTTCTTCGTTCAAATTGAAGGTACGGATAATGAGGTACGGATAATGAGGTACGGATAATGAGGCACGAATGAAAGGCAATCGTCTAAGAAAGGTACCAGCCAAGGATTTCGATCTATCGATCACAATACAGACGACTAATCGATTCCGTCAGGTATCAGAAACTGATATTGATGAGGTGATTACCCGCAATGAAAATAGAAACACTGCCAGGAAAATACTGCCTGATTTTGTTGTTCTTTTTAGACAGAAAAATCTTATTTTAAGCATGAGTTATGTTTGCACTGTATTAGCGACTAGTCACAACCATATGCTGCCGTCATGAACGACCTTCACCTTGGTGTAAGTATTTTTACGCGAATGTTCGATTCTCTTCATATAAATTCACGTACGATTTGCTTCTTTTTAGAGTAATTTTAAGAGTGACATTATATGATAAAGAGATTATTAACCTCGTGTGTTTCCGTATCATTAATAATATATATTTGGAATTAAATGATGTATTATGTATTATACATAATACAATTTTTATTCCTAATAATATTAATGATACGGAAACACACGAGGTTAATAATATCTATATGTAACGTTGTGAAATAACGCAATAAAATGACGTAATACTAACGTTGTGACGCCGTTGTGTCATGATGTTACCAATCTACAAACTTCCCACAACGTTGTTAAAACGTTGTGGGTTAGATGGGATCACACCATCTGTGAAAGGTCCGAACTGATTTGCTTGTTGTAGGAGAAAACTAACAGGTACGGCTGATCAGCCTCCTTGAAGGTCACATAAAAGGTTTTCATGAAAAAGGTTAAATCAATTCATAACAAACTAAGTGAGTCGGCAAGGCTAGTTGACCTGCCTTAGATCACCATTTGGCTATATTGTGCCATGTCATGCTCATGTGAAACACCCGTGAATTAATCTTCAGTAACCCATGCTTGTCGTAAGAGGCAACTTACGGGGCCGGGTGGTCAGACTTGCTGACTTGGTTGACACATGTCATCGTATCCCAATTGCGTTGATCGATATTCATGGTGTCTGTCACTGGATTGTCTGCTCCAGAGTCGAATATTTACAGAGCTGGAATACTGATGAGTGTTGCGTTAAACAACAAACAAGCACACAAGAAACAAACAAACACTCATATTGCACCAAATACTACCCAAACCCAATACGCTGGATATCCATTTCACTCACTCACTCCCCTGTCCACAGCGTTTCAAGGACCTCTACTGCAGTGACCCGAAAAACAGGGAGAGCCCCCTTGACAAACTCCAGTGTGACGAGGTCGACAACCTGAGGCCAGAGGACATCAAGTGTCCATAAGGATGACCCTCACTGATCTTTATGGGACCGTCCATCTGTTTTTCTTGGGGGAGTGAATCATACATATAAAAAAATATCCGAAAAATACGCTTGAAGAACAACTGAAGACATTGTATGTATAAAAAAAGCATTGATGCCACATGTGGTGGTACAAACAATATGTAGGTTCATTGGTTTAATTACAAAAAACATCTGGTCTTCCTACAAAACCCCAACAGAATATCGAATGGTCGGTCCCTAATGTGAAACGTTAATAAAACATTGTGTATAAACAGGTGTTTTGTACTTTATGGGGAATCTGTCAATTTAGACGTGACATTGTTAGAGTGATGGAGGAGTGGTGGGATAACATGGGGGTGGGGTAACATAGGGGTAGGGGTAGATCGTCACATCGAAGTATCCACACGAGTACAATGTGTGAAGACCACCGTGGTGTCAACCACGTGAAAAAGCTGGAATACTCCTTTAAGTCGGGTAAAACGATATTCACTCTCTCACCCACTACACTTATCTTAATTTCTGAAACTTAGAACTGTACAAAAGAGAAATATTAGATTAAATAGCAAATTCATACGCATATGCATATGCTATATTCATATCCTATAATAATAATAATTAGTCAATTTATATTGCGCTAAATCTACACCGACAGCATGCCCATAGCGCAAGATTATCATTACCCCGGGTAAGCTAAGCTGCCTGTGAGGCGCGAGAAGGATAATAGTCATCCCACCGGGTACCCATTTTCTGCGTTGTTAACAGAGGTACGTTTGAACAAATCCACTTCCCTGAGGTGAGACCACATGTATCACATGTTCTTCGTTGTGGGGCAACGAGAAAGTCTCAGGATCCAAGCTGCCAATCACGGTCACACATCCAAAGACTCACCACGCCCAACGTCGATTTACTTCAACAGATTTGTGAATTGAGCTCTATGCACAGGATCACACACCACCACCTAATCCTAAACATACTTTAAGGGCAAATTTAATGGGTACGTTGAACTTTGCAAAATAGGATAGATGGTCAGAGGCAGCAAATATCGTATTCAAAATGTCGAAAGCGGCGCGTAAATTTAATGGGTACGTTGAACTTTGCAAAATAGGATAGATGGTCAGATGCAGCAAATATCGTATTCAAAATGTCGAAAGCGGCGCGTAAGTACAGCTTATCTTCAGTTTAATCCTGTTTATGAATTTCAAAGACTGAAACGAAAATACAGCTTCCTCAGACGACCACTGTCACCAGTTGTTAGGTAAATTGCTCCTCGTTCAAAAAAGCCTGTGGAAACACGGCATGAGTCCACAGGCCCTTGTGTCTTTGCGAGGATTAAAAATTAAAAATACCCATTTGAGATGACATGCTTCGACATGCTTCAGAGTATAATAAATCTTGATTTATTGTACTGTGAAGCATTTCGAGTCGGGGGTCATATCAAAATAAAAAATTTTAAATCTTTAATCCTCGCAAAGACACGAGGGCCTGTGCTGGAGTCGTCACATTTTACCAGTTACAACACCATTTAGATGCAAACATACCACATATTTGCGCGGGATCACTTCCTCATATAACAGTGGTGGTATCCTTAGAACAATACACTTTGGTAATTGCTGTTTGATAATTTCTTCGAATATCCTGCCTCTATTGTATCCTAATACACAAGAGGAATTGGTAGGATATACCATATAGTAATCATGGAAATCTGACGGTAATAATTATAGCTCGCTGAAAAGCCAAGAAAATACCTTGACGCTTTCACATAAGATGTAATGATTAATAATGATTATACTCTGTTATTTGTAGTTTTACGTTGAATATGACGTTGGGCACATGAACCGATTTCTTGAGAGGCATATGGAAGTTGGCATTCAAGTATAGTATGACCAGAAATTATTGAGAATTTTAGGAATATGTTTAATTGGATTTCTAGTATAAACAACCTTGTCCAGCTATCAATTGCTTGGTTTCATTCAAGAGAGACAACTCCGTTAATCCTTTTTCATTAGTTTGTGAAGAGTTTCCCCTTTGTTTACTTACTAGCAGACGACATTTTCAGTGATCCTCAGCATGGATGATTTAGAGAAGAGGAAGTTGATTTTAGAGTATTATAACAAGGACATCAGATCAGCTAAAGTGATTTCAAGTAGAACAGGCATCCCTTTGTCCACTGTTTATCGTGTTTTGAAAAATATTTTAAATGGATATGGCATTGAGCACCAGGGAGGCGCAGGTAGGCCCAGAAAATTGACTGACGGTGACAGGAGGGGGCTTGATATTCTTGTTTCTAAAAAACAAACGACTGACTGACTGACTGAGTTTGGTCTTACGCCGCTTTTAGCAATATTCCAGCAATATCAGGGCGGGGGACACCAGAAATGGGCTTCACTCATTGTACCAATATGGGGATTCGAACCCGGGTCTTCGGCGTGACGAGCCAACGCTTTAACCACTAGACTACCCCACCGCCCCTAAAAAACAAACGAAGGAGTTAAGAAAACTTAAGGCTGGATATGATTGATAGAGGAACTGTGGCTGTCTGTAAGGAGACAATTAGAACTGAGCTGCATGCAATGGGTTGGCAGAAAAGTCGAGGAATTCCATCACCGATCATGAAACCTGAACAAAAGAAGCGAAGGTTGAACTGGTGCTTACAGCATAGAAATTTTAACTGGGACAATGTGATTTTCTGAGATGAAAGTTCTGTGTGGCTGTTTCCTAATACACTGAAAACCTTTGTATCAGCGCCCAAAGTACAGTCCGAAATTTAACGTGTGGGGTGGCATATCTGTGTTAGGGGCAACGCCCCTCTGTGTATTTGAAGGGAATGTGAACAGTGAGCGGTACACAGATATTCTCGAGGGACATTTACTTCCATCTGCTCACGTGTTCTATGGAAATATTTGGATTTTCCAGCAGGACAACGACCCAAAACATCGTTCAAAGCATTCACAGGCCTGGTTTCGGACCCAAAATATGATATTATTAGATTGGCCAAGCTATAGCCCTGACCTAAATTCAATAGAAAATGTTTGGGGACTTATGAAGGAAAGTGTCAATAAGAAAACGCTGACAAATATTGCTGAAATGAAAGAAGGGGTGTTCCGATATTGGGACAGCATGGACCACGACTTTCTAACTTCTTTGATCAGTAGTATGCCCCGCCGCATTGAAGCCTGCATTGCTGCCCATGGTGACTTGACAAAATACTAACTGTTCACCTGTCTTTGAATCTGGAGTTATGTTCTGCTAATATTCACATTTAGTACGTGAGTAATGAGTGAAAAAAATTAAAAATTTACAATCTTTAAATTCTCAATAATTTCTGGTTGTACTGTATAAGACAAAATATTATGGATGTCAACTTCTTTATTGCATACACAACGTTTCTGGGCTTTTCTTGCCCAATCACCTGGCGAAGGGGCTAGGAAAAGCCCCGAAACGTTGTGTATACAATAAAGTGAGTGAGTATGGTTTTACGCCGCTTTTAGAAATTTTCCTGCAATATCACGGCGGGGGGACACCAGAAATGGGCTTCACACATTGTACCCATGTGGGGAATCGAACCCGGGTATTCGGCGTGACGAGCGTACGCTTTAACCACTAGACTACCCCACCGACCCCGTATACAATGAAGAAGTTGGCATCCATAATATATTTTGTCCTATACTGTTTGAAACCGTTTCACCATGACATTTCTCCTTTCACAGAAACGAAATATCTCCTAAGTATAAAAACAAAAAACATTCGCTCGCTGATGTCGTAAGTTGAACGATGACGGCATGATCATGATATTGCCAACGTATCACTGAACTCCCCTTTCAAGGCGGTGCTTGAATGCAGTCTATTCTAAGCGTTTGCTTACACATGCGTCTAGGTAAACATGGATCCAGATTGGGTTTCCCTGCTGAGAAGTGTTTTGGGGTGAGGCAAACAAATATACCTGAACTGTTTTCACCTGGGATACCCTGTTGAAATAGTTCAGTGACAGTCGTTGATCTAATATTTATAAACCTAGGACGGATTTTGTCCATTGCAATCAAGGGTTTATCTATAGCATGAAAACAAGGGACTAGGTTTTACTTTCAAGTTAAACCTTTTGAGAGGTTTTACTGGCTTCCAAGTAAAACCTCTGGAAGGGTTTTACTTTTAGTAAAACCTGTCGAGGGGGCTTTACTTGAAAGTAAAACCTGGTCCCAGGTTCTAAGGAAAATAACCTCTATTCTAAGGGACAAAATTCGTGATACTTCCAATAATAAAACAAGCACTGATCATCGTCCGACATGGTGTACGTTTCGTTCAAAGTGAGCGAGACAAACTGGTGCAATAAGCCACGTGTGCAAATCTGCACATGCCGTCCGTGAACCGATCGCGTGAAGGTTGCGTGGACTGCCTCGATGTAACTCGGATATTTACCTCATTATAAGACATTACGTACATACCCTCGGCCCCTTCATGGTAAAATGGACTGCACCGCTATTCAGATTCACGGGTTCAAATGACAGGTCGGCATTATTCTTAAGTTGGTCTCACAATAGCTAGGTGTGAATAGATTTACACGAACCTAGTTATATACTTCAAACGACAGCACAATAACAGAAACAAATATTAACAAAAAATCTATGGCCAAAGAACACATAGATATTTATTGAACACTTTGGACACATCATTTTGGTCATACCCCACTTTGCCGGACAGCTGATGTGATGATAACGAATAAAGAGTAACGGTCCGCTAGTTTGCCGGCTATAGTCTGTTTTCAGTGATTAGTTGTCACCCATAGGCATGTGGGGGACATTAGCGTTTGGCAGACTGAGTTCGAACTCATTAATTACAAGGCTCCAATTTGTTTTGAGTGAACTCGATTTCTAGTAACTGATTTTAGTTAAATCGAATTATATTAGCTGAAATGAGTGAAGCTTATTCCAATGATTATTTCTGAAGTTGTGCCTGTATATAAAGAATGTAGACATGATTCGTTCATTGCAAAATGGCAAACGCTCAAGTTAACATTCCAAATTCGAGGGGAGGTAGGTAGACACTTAATCTATCTAGGTCACAAGTTTAGGGTTAAGAGCACAAAAAGTGATCGAGTTAATTTGAAATGTTGTAAGACAGGTTGTCCTCCAACGGCCAACACCGTCAGTGATGTTCTCAGCAGTTCCAGGAACACACATAACCACCATCAAGACCAAGTTCAGTTCAGAAAATATTTATGCATATTTATTTATGTCTTCAGTTACCATTTTCTCGTTTTCTGAAAATGTACGAAATA